TACCAACACTATACAACATATTTTATCATATGTTAAAGAATGTTCAGATTAAAGATGATCGATATGGAAGCTCTTCACACCTTTGGCCCCTGGGCATAGTTAGGTCAATAGGCATGAAATCCATCTTCTGCAAAAGACTTGTTTTTAACTATTATATTGAATATGGGTTAAGAAGTTTTTAAATTTCTATGACATCTAAAAGCTCAGAAGGAAGTGAAAGGCATATTAGATATTACCAAATAAAGAGGGTTGGTATCTATTTAGTTATTTTTTTAAAAAAAGTATTGTCTTCATATGTTTTGAACAGTCATTTAAAAGGGTGAATAAAAATAACCACAGCATACAATACTAAGGGCTAAGCCTCATCTCAATTCCTGGAGGATTAAAGGCAGCTTAGGCTCACCAGCTGTTAACATATGCAGCACTGCACAGGCGGAAATGTTGCTGGTGGAGATCACACATGTGTGGATAAAGGAGGTATGTGTAAAATTCTAATACTTTCCTCCTAATTTTGCTGTGAACCTAAAACTGCTCTTAAAGAAAGACATGTTTAACACAATGAATATACTCAGTGCTTGAGCTCCTTCTTGACATGCACATGGCTCTGGGTTCATTAAACAAAGGGGGTAAAGAACAGGAGAAGACAGCATGTTAAAGAAAAAGCGGACAACAGCCGGGCAGTGGTGGTGCACACCTTTAATCCTAGCCCTCAGGAGGCAGAGACAGGCAGATCTCTGTGAGTTTGAGGCCAACCTGGTTCCAAAGCTACAGAGCAACTCTGTCTCAAAAACCAAAAAAAAAAAAAAACAAAAAAAAAAAAAAAAAACCCAAAAAAAACATCTAAGAAATGAAAAAGAATATTTTAAATAGGTACCTAATTTACTTCTAAATTTAAAATGAGAATGACTAACAGCCAATTTTTCTAAAATTTTAAGTATATTTCAAAACCAAAATGAAAATATTCAGTATCGTCCAAGTTACATTAAAAACTTGCCAAACGTTACTTTAAATGCCTTTAAATGACTACACAGCTCTAAAGGATTGTAGCATACCCCAATTTTCTGAATTGGTGAACCAAGAAAATTTATCGTGAAGTTTTGGTAAAAGTTTTAAAAAAAAACTTTCCTTTTTTTTGAGTTTCATGTGTGGCTGGCCTCAAGCTTAAGATGACCCTTTCTTAGTTCTGGAAATATAAGCCACCACATCCAGTTAAATGTTGTTAAAACTGGTATTTGGGGTTGGACATTTAACTCTGTGGTAGAGTTTGCTTAGTGTGTCCAAGCACCAGGGTTTGATCCTTTACATCAGGAGAGGGTAAAGGGCAAGTTAAATAGCCTTGAAAACAATCACATACATTCAACATGTGAAAAATGTAATCATGCTAAAGTATGACAAAAGTTAAATGTGATCATTAGCAATATAATATTAGGAAAGGCTCTGAAATATGAAAACAATGAATTAAACGTCTTCATATATTATTAATATCAAATCTGCTTGCTTCTTTTTTTTGTTTGTTTGTTTGTTTGTTTTTTTGATTTTCGAGACAGGGTTTCTCTGTAGCTTTTTGGTTCCTGTCCTGGAACTAGCTCTTGTAGTCCAGGCTGGCTTCGAACTCACAGAGATCCGCCTGCCTCTGCCTCCCGAGTGCTGGGATTAGAGGCATGCGCCACCACCGCCCGGCTGCTTGTTTGTTTTGAGACAGGATCTCACTATACGTGTAGGCTGAGGTCAAATTCAGAGTCTCTTCTGGGATCAAATGTGTGCATCATCATATCAGGTTTAAATATTATTAATTCTTTCAAATGTTTTCTGAGGTTTTTAAAGATTTATTTACCTACTTTTATTTATGTATGCATGCACACATACATAAACATGCCAGAAGAGAATGCTGGATGTCCTGAAGCTGAAGTTAAAAATGGGTTGTATTAGTTATTAGCACTTATAAAATAATGGTATTCTAATTAAGACCCTTGACCAGGATCCTTGTACTTCAACTGGGACAAATCTTTGTTCTTTGCATCAGATTCTTGAGCAATTGCTATGAGATGGGGACATACGGAGCTCAGTAACAAAATGCTTGCCTAGCATGCATAAGCTAAAAGAAATGAAATGTGACAAAATTCAAATTTAATAGTTATTCACTGATAGTTCTTTATAAAATATGTTACTGAACATCATTAACGATTCATTATTAGCATGAGTCAGAACACATAGGTTTCTAAGCATAAAAACTTGATCACTTAAAATAGATATTAACAGTAAAAATCATATGAAGATTGTTATTTTAAACCATCAATGGTCACAATCTTCCAACAGTTAAATCTCACTTTTTCTGCCTATGTTATCTAAAGACAGGGGAAGCACAACCCTATGAACATGTCCAACTTCAGGATTTAGATAGCACAAGAACTACAAGTATAATTACATTAATATCAACATTGTATTCTAAATACAATCATATAACTAATTTACAGAGTTACATATAAAATTTACTACAAAGAACTGCCTATCAAAACAACTAAATTGCTATGAAATAAAGAAGCTATATGTCTTTGTAGAAAATACCTTTAGGAAAAATTCTTGGGTCCCTTGGCATCAATTTTAAAGATTAAAGACCCTTAAAATCATTTATTTTGATTCCTCAAATACATAACATTAAAAATGTGCTTGGAATACTATGGCACATATACTTTTGGGTACAAACAAGCCCAGCAAGACGGTGCAACAGGGAAAGCACTTGTCCCTCAAACTAAGTAAGCTGAGCTGAACACCTTCAAGGTAGGAGAGAACCAACTCCACAAGAGCAACTCAACACACACAATCACACACACATCACCCAGAGACACACAAAATAATAAACTATTTAAAAAAGCCAACCTGATATCAATACTTCATGAACACTGGTATAGCTGAACATTTAAAATTTCTAATTATGATTTATAGATATTCTTTATAGTAAACTAGTATAAAAATATAATGGAGGAAATTTGACATAAAAAACTAGCACAGCTTTTAAAAGGCTTATATATTAAAATTAATAGCTAGATTAAAAAGTATTTTTAAAATATTATATAATAGTCCTAAACCACAACCTGATTGTACAAGGATGTTCACAGTCCCTAAATACTTCATTTACAACCATCTAACTTTATCTGACTAAAAACAGCAAGAATTCTGTCTTCTTCAATGTAATAACTCATGTAATGTGTAACCATCTGTCCATCTCAATTTTAAAAGCTAAAAGCCTTCATTTAAGTACTGTCCTTTCACATGTAGAGATATATGAGGGAAATATTAAGAATCAATGTTTTTACTATGAAAGCTGCAATTGATATATGAAGTTTCCCAGCAATATATGTTTAATTCAATGTGCATAGGAATGTTAATCACATATCTATTAAACAGTTTAAAGGGAATGCTTCATAGCATAACACTGCTTAATAAAATGACTACTATTTTAATATATTTCTATTTCTTTTTAAAATATATTTTAAAACCCAAAGAAATGAAACCAAATTCTAACAAGGTGTGATGAAACAAAGAAAAAAGTGCTATTTTTTCATTTATCATCTATAAAACAAATTTATGACATCGTAAAAGACAATTTAACAATCTAAAAAAGGTTCAAAGGGGAGAAGAGCCCAAGAAAATAGATTTATCAAGTTTAGTTATTCAATCTAAAAATTTTTAGAAAGTACACCATCATATGTGACTTAGTAGGCTATATTCAGGCACCTATTTACTATTTAAATTGTTTCATTTCACAGATCATGTTTATCTTTCCACTGTCAACAGCCAATAAGAGGAGCCAGGTCTATAGGAAAGGAAACTAGAAACCACACAGTAAAATCAGAAAGCTACCAAGCACCGGAGCACAGAAGACTAAATGAAACGGGTTCCTAGGTTCTGCCTGGTATGGATTAAAATAATCCATTAGAATGATCATTTAAAATGATCTTCCTTGGGGAGTGTAGTACAAATGTTACCAAGGACAAATAACACAATATCAAATTTTTTAGCAGAGTAATTTCAGTATTTCAGACATGAATTCATACTAGTCAACAAGCAATATAAAATCCACCCAGTTTCTTTTACTTTAGAGAGTAAACCAAAACAAACCTCTTTCCTCGTAAGTCTCTTAAATCCAAGACCTCACTACAGAATTTTTATTTCCTTCACTTGCAAACTGTAAACTCTTCCCCACTCTGAAGCAATTAGTTAATAGAAAGGGATTTACGAGCAAAGGGTATTTATCGTTTCCTGGGGAAAATTTTTTGATGGGAAACAATGACCTTTCGTTTGGTATTATGCATTTTTAAAAATTATAACTCAGCTGTAGAATTTTACCATATAACCAACTATCAACTTTTAAACAGCCTTTGGCTACTCTTTTTTTTTCTTAAGTTCAGTCTCTTAAAGAGACAGTATCTCTGGATCAATGACAGAGGAAACAGTTCTAAAAAGTTTGATTACCAAGAATCTTTTCTGGCATTTCTTCAAATCCACTCTTCATTATCAATTTCCTATTTTGTTTTATTATAAAACCAAATTATCTTGACATAAACATGCAAATGACTATGATGATGACACAGTACAGGTGGTACTGTCATTAGAGGCATCTGAAATATTGGTTACCTATACTTTCTTACAACAAGCAAATCATCTGACTTTTAGAGAACTCTCAAGTTTTTTCCTGCATTTCCCATTCATTCATTAGGCACAGGCAATATGAAGCCAACAATATCGGGTGCTAGAAAAATGAGATTTCATTGTCTAATGAAGGGAAGGTTTATTAAATAACATCAACCTAAGTCCAATCAGTGAAACATACACATGCCCTAAAATCTGGACAATCATCTGATTTTAATGAATATTTTCATCTTTCAATATACTTACTTAAAAGCACATTTTTATGTCTATCTATTAACATAACTATAGACCAACTCCCACACTCCCACACATGGATCCCAGCAAAGAGGGGATTAAAAAGTCTGGCTTACTTGGTGTACAAATACATCCACTGGAATATCCAAGGGGTTTCCCTCTCGGTTTATCATGGAGATGAATCCAAATCCCATGCGTACATTGAACCACTTACAGTGGCCAGTTCCATGCAGAACCTGGGATTCTTCCTCTGCCAGCTCAGGCAGCTTTTCTGGCTCTTCACCTTTGCTTGCCCCGCCTGACATGGAATAACACAAAAAGTCAGTTAGTCTGCATTTCCACACCATGCGCAACCAAAAAAAAAAAAAA